CGTTTATTTCCATTTTGGAAGCAAGAGCCTTTGATGTCATCAGGAAGTGGCATTATGTGAGAGAACTGAAGATTTGCTGGCGGAGAGGCAAAGTCAAGTGAAAGGTCTAAAAGAATATACAAAGAAATCAAAATAACTTGAGAGCAAAATACACTGTCTTCTTTAAAACAATAGGTAAACAAACAAAAAACCAAACTTTTAGGTGTTCGTACGCAAAAACTCTTCCCCAAAGCAAGTAAAAAAGAAATAAGAAACAAGACTCATACTAGATCTCCCTCAACTTTTTTCCATGTATGTGTGGGGGTGGGTGAATGAAGGCAGGAATACCCACACTTGAAAATAAAATGATTAAAAATTTATAAAGTGGGCCGGGTGTAGTGGCTCATGCCTATAATCCTAGCACTCTGGGAGGCTGAGGTGGGAGGATTGCTCAAGGTCAGGAGTTTTAAACCAGTCTGAGCAAGAGTGAGACCTTGTCTCTACTATAAAATAGAAAGAAATTAATTGGCCAACTAAAAATATATAGAAAAAATTAGCTGGGCATGGTGGCGCATGCCTGTATTCCCAGCTACTTGGGAGGCGAGGCAGGAGGACTGCTTGAGCCCAGGAGTCTGAAGTTACTGTGAGCTAGGCTGACACCACGGCACTCTAGTCCGGGCAACAGAGTGAGACTCTGTCTCAAAAAAGAAAAAAAAAATTTCAACATGGTGTTTGCACACCAAGAGCTAAGCTTCCAAGCAATTCACAGGCAAGCTTGTTATAAGAAACACTCTGATCACCAGGACAGGCTTTCACACTTGGGGTGCTGTTCTTAAAAATGAAACAGGAATTAGGCCGGGCGCTGTGGCTCACGCCTGTAATCCTAGCTCTTGGGAGGCCGAGGCGGGCGATTAGCAATCCTCCCACCTCAGCCTCCCAGAGTGCTAGGATTATAGGCATGAGCCACTACACCCGGCCCACTTTATAAATTTTTAATCATTTTATTTTCAAGTGTGGGTATTCCTGCCTTCATTCACCCACCCCCACACATACATGGAAAAAAGTTGAGGGAGATCTAGTATGAGTCTTGTTTCTTATTTCTTTTTTACTTGCTTTGGGGAAGAGTTTTTGCGTACGAACACCTAAAAGTTTGGTTTTTTGTTTGTTTACCTATTGTTTTAAAGAAGACAGTGTATTTTGCTCTCAAGTTATTTTGATTTCTTTGTATATTCTTTTAGACCTTTCACTTGACTTTGCCTCTCCGCCAGCAAATCTTCAGTTCTCTCACATAATGCCACTTCCTGATGACATCAAAGGCTCTTGCTTCCAAAATGGAAATAAACGGAACCATGAACCCTTTATTGCTCCAGAAAGATTTGGAAACAGCAGTGTAGGCTTTGGCACTAACTCCCATTTCCAAGCACCAGAGAAAGTGACGCTTCTTGTAGATGGCACACGTTTTGTTGTGAATCCACAAATTTTCACTGCTCATCCAGATACCATGTTGGGAAGGTAAGCGATGATAATTTTCTTCCAGATTCACTCTGTTCTCTATAAATAGACATATCTGCTGTTTATCTTGCATTAGATGTGAGGATAAGAAGCATTGCATTGCCCATTTTCCTACCTTCACTTTGTGCAAAAGGGAGGGCAGGCTGGTAAAAGCCTAATGTGTGTTAGTGATTTGGGTGAGGGGGAGTGTACTTATTTCATTTACAAAGCCAGTATAGTAAATGAGCCTCTACCAAAGGAAGTAAAATCTAGTTGAACTATAAAAAATAACCTGCTGAATCTCATTCCCTACTCCTCTATAAACTCACTGTAATGTTTTCAGCTAGGCGCAGTGGCTCGAGCCTATAATCCCAGTACTTTGGGAGGTCAAGGTGGAAGGATAACTTGAGGTGAGGAGTTCATGACAACATAGCCTGGGCAATATAGTGAGACCCTATCTCTATTTAAACAAAAAATTAGGGATGGTGGTGTGCACCTATAGTCCCAGTTGCTTCGGGAGGCTGAGGCAGGATGATCACCTGAGCCAGGGGTTGGAAGCTGCAGTGAGCTAAGATTGTGCCACTGTACTCCAGCCTGGGTGACAGAGCAAGACTCTGTCTCAAAAAAAAAAAAAAATCAGGCCAGGCACGGTGGCTCATGCCTGTAATCCTAGCACTCAGGAGTTTGAAACTAGCTTGAGCAAGAGCGAGACGCCATCTCTACTAAAAAAAAAAAAAAAAGAAAAGAAAAGAAAGAAAGAAATTAGCTGGAGAACTAAAAACATATAGAAAAAATTAGCCAGGCATGGTGGCTCATGCCTATAGTCCCAGCTACTCAGGAGGCTGTAGCAGGAGGATCACTTGAGCCCAGGAGTTTAGGTTGCTGTGAGCTAGGCTGACACCACAGCACTCTATCCCAGGTGACAGAGTGAGACTCGTCTCAAAAAAAAAATCTTTTCTGAGTTCCACAGGTCAAAGATGCTGGGGGTAAGGTGAGACCTAAGTTTTGTTTTGTTTTGTTTAAATAAAAAGCAAAATTAGACAAATGTTCCATATGACACAAGAACAAAGCCATTTTACTGAAAACATTTTGCCTGCCATCTATTGCCAGTTTTGTGCTTGGCAATAGATGCTCTGCTGTTATTTTCTGATGTCTCCATTACTATTCAGGTTGCTTGAAATAGAAGCTTTGTATCTAGCTGTTTTGTTTTCATGTTTCATGTTCTCTTTATTCTTCATGGTCTACTCTCTGTGCTGCTTCATTCAAACTTACCCTCCTCTCTTCTAGCCCCCAGATTTTTAGAGTTAGAATTTCAGAAATGAAAATAGATGCTAAGGAGGAGTACTGTCCAGGAAGTAGTCTTTTAGCCTGGGCTGGGTAAGAGATTCTCTTTTCTAGCCAACCATAGACCTTAACCTGAGGAAGAGCAACTTGGAATAAGAGTAAAAATAATAATAATGATAGTGTGTTTGTAGGTTTGGCTTTTTTTTTTTTTTTTTTTTTTTTTTGAGACAGGGTCTTACTTTGTTGCCAGGCTAGAGTGGTGCCGTGGCGTCAGCCTAGCTCACAGCAACCTCAACTCCTGGCTCAAGTGTATCCTCCCTGCCGTCCGCCTCCCAAGTAGCCGGGACTACAAGCATGCACCACCATGCGCCGGCTACATTCTTTGGTATATATATTTTAATTGGTAAAATTAATTCCTTTCTATTTTGTAGTAGACGTGGTCTCGCTCAGGCTGGTTCGAACTCCAACCCGAGCAATCCGCCCGCCTCGGCCTCCCAGAGTGCTAGGATTACAGGCGTGAGCCACCGCGCCCGGCCTGTAGGTTTGGCTTTTAAGGATTTTCATCTACTTTTATTCTGTTTAGAGATCTAACCTTAGGAGTTTGAACAAATTTGAACTAAACTAGAAGTCAGAATGGATCATTCTAATATGCTGAATTCTAGACTGAATGGAAAACAGCTATTTAAATATATGTATATTTGAACTTACAAATTCATAATGACCCATTTTTAAATACAACCAAATCTGTCTATATATTACTCAAACATCTAAAGTAAGATGAGGCCGGGCATGGTGACTCATGCCTGTAATCCTAGCACTCTGGGAAGCCCAGGCAGGCGGATCGTTTGAGCTCAGGAGTTCGAGAACAGCCTGAGCAAGGGCGAGACACAATCTCCACTAAAATAGAAAAAAATTAATTGGCCAACTAAAAAAAATATATAGAAAATAATTAGCTGGCCATGGTGGCGCATGCCTGTAATCCCAG